TGGTTTAACACCTTTCCTCTCACAACCTGACAAACAATATGGCTTCCATTTTGCCAGATCTACCGCTGATGTGTTAATGGCCCTCACTGAATATATATTTCAAGCTCTTTATAATAATGATGAAGCCCGAGACGTTGCTCTGGATATCTCGAAGGCGCTTGACAGGGTTTGGTCCGCTGGTCTTCTACGTAAGCTCCAGGGTTACGGTATTACTGGGTAACTATTTGATTTAATCCCATCATTCCTGTCAAATTGTGAAATGAAGGTCGTTTTGAATGGAATCACTTCCAGATCTTTTCACACGAACGCGAGTGACCCCAAAAGTTCTCTCCTGGGTTCTATGTTGTGTCTGATGATCAATGATCATCCTGATGTCATCAGTTACCAAGCAGGCATGAATGATGATGACACTACCATTTCCTCCTGTCTCAATAGCAAATCCGCCAGATTCGTCAATGTTAACCTGGCCGTTGCTCTTGAAAAGGACTTCCAATCTGTGGTTAACTGGGGACAGGAAATGGCTCGTAAATTCTAATACCTCCAAAACTAAACTGCTCTCATTTAACCACTATCAAGAATCTTTTCTGTCCGCCATGAAGCATGGCTAATACCAGACTTATGGAAAGCAACACACTACATGTTCTTGGCCCCACTTTTTCAAATGACTTCAAGTGGAACGACTTTATCGAATCAATAGCCACTTCTACTGAAAGGAAATTTGAGTCCCTGGGTCGTATCAGAAGGTTTTTCTCGACAAAGACATCTTGCACATTTACAAATCTACCATTCGTCCGTGAATTGAATACTGTTGCCATATCAGGTCTGGTACTCCTGCTACTCATCTCGAGGTACTTGACAAAATCCAAAGAAGGATCTTCTATGTCATCGACCCTGACTCGATCTTCCGACTTCAGTCACTTTCTTACCGACGTGACGTGGCTTCCCTCTGTCTTTTCTATACAAATATGTTTATGGCTACTACTTTGACGAGCTTTTTTTCCTGGTGCCGGTCTACGTGAGTTTAAGTATGTTAATAGACTGACATCTAAGTCTCATCCTTTTATTGTTGAATTAGTTAAACGTAACTGCCACTTCTACTCCAATAGTTCCTTTTCTCGCACTTCACGCCTGTGGAATTCTCTTCTGTTTCCTTGCTTCCCTGATAACTGAAATCTTCAAAAATTTAAATGCAACGTGAATCACCATCTTCTATCTTCTTCAATCCCGTTCAGCTTTTATCCTTTCCTCGGTTCTGCTTACCCAGTCTTTTCTCCCATCTGCAGTCTCTGTAACTCCCTGCGTGCCAGTGGCATTACCGCCTTGCCTGAGATGAAATGATTAAAAAAATCATTTTAATTTGTGTTTTAAAAATTGAGGCTAGAAACGATTTTAAATTGTCTTCGCAATTGATGGTGAAATAAATAAACTTCTATGTTAAATCTGTGTTTTGTTATTTTTAACACAAGAATTTTTTTTGCAACACACGTTAGCGTGTTGCAATCCTTTCAGAATTTAATATTGTTGAATTTATCGCTATTATTTTTTTTGTCGAGATTTACAAACACTAGGTTTCGTTCGATTTCGCAAAAAAAAAAAAAATCGATGAAATTTAAATAAAATTATTTGTTTGAAAAATACTTTGACAAAAACCCTATTTCGCAGTTTTTACCAACACAAGTAAAACCAACTGTAGTTTGTACCCATGACCTGTTTGCACTTCTCCCCAACATTTGATTTCAATCGGTCAATGTATGGCTATTTTAGAAGGTGCGACGGGCGGACGAGAGGAGGTCACAGAATTTTATATATATATATAAAGATAAATTATCTGCCTTCATAATAATAAAAATATTAACGGCCAAATAACCTGGAGGTCTATTTTACTGAGACCGGTAAAATAATAGCTTCTTCCTCAATGGGACAACAAGACTGAGTAAATAACGTAGCTTTTTATAGAAGAGACGGGCAATTTGGATTAACAAAAAAAAAAAAATAATGAGAGTATAAGTGAATTGATAATTTATGCAAAGGCCAAACGACTGTCTGATTTGGCGCTAAATATTCTTGCTTCGATTTATTTTGTATTAATTTATGTTTATTTTGTGTATTCTCTTTTAAAAACAATATGCATTTATGTAGAGACCGACTGAGGCTTTAAACGAATTATTTCTATTTATATCTATAACAATTACACACGTCATGAACTATTTGTTTAACGAACAGAGCTAAAGAACGAACAATCTTTGTATAAAGTGACCCCATTATCAAAAGGAATCGTTCATTGTAATCACAGATAATGTTATCAAGCGAACACTGCTGTAAAAATCAGTCAACTCCATACACTCTGCTTAAAATTTAATAAAAATCTCAACAGAGCTGTTACGTGACATCTGCCCTTCTTTACGGCAGCGAATGTTGGACGATTTCCTCAAAGATGAAGAAGAGACTCGAGGCGACGGAGATGTGGTTCTACAGAAGGATGATAAGGATATCATGGACCCAGCGTGTGAGCAACGTTGAGGTCTTAGAGAGGTTGCAAATATATATAAGGCTTATACTTAATATCAGGAAGAAGCAGCTGAAGTTTCTGGGACCCATAATGAGGAAGGAGGGCCTGGAGAATCTGATACTCACAGGTCGAATAGAGGGAAAGAGGTACAAGGGAAAAGAACGCGTGACATACCTGGCGGGCTTAAGAAAGTAGATGTCAGAACGTGGCCTGGGGGAGGAAGCAGAAGGAAGGAACTTGTTGAGAGCTGCAAGGGTTAGAGGGGGGTGGAGAGCTATGATCGCCTACGTCCTGAAAGGGCATGGCACATAAAAAGAAAAGTCAATATATTCCGTGCTAATTTTGTATAATGTTAAATTCTTTATAGCAATGTTTTTAATTGTCCTCTCCTAGTTTTTAAACTGTACCTGGGGGGGGTACTGTTCACGTTTGGAATCCAAGAACTGTAGAGATTATTTTCATTAGAACAGTTCTTGTCTTGGAGCTAATAATTGAAGAAAGTACAGAAATGTAATGGTAAACGCGCCCGTAATAAGACAGAGTGTCAAAAGGACGGTTTTCGTTCCATTGACACCATTTTTTAAAACTACCTTTACTCTTCGACAATGTTTCTTCTTTTAAAAAACTGGTAACATTAAAAGTATATTGTTTACATTTTTCTCCTCTCGCTTAATGTTATCTACCGTTTATTCTTATCTAAATATCTATGTTTCATGTTGAACCTAAAAAAAATAGCCTCGCTGGGTTTTCATCAAGCGCTTATATCTATAGATTTACGATCTGATTTCAATTAATTCGTATCCTTACTCTCGCTATATATACTGCCATCTACAGAGAGACTGTTTCGCAGTATCACAGACGTCTGGTTGCCCCTAGGATCGAAAGCCGGCGGAATTGGCTTTAGTCAGATATTCTACCCCTAAGCCGTTGGCGCGCAGCAGGAACGAAGGTGAATTTAAGCGTACTTATTTTTAGATAAACACGCCGGTGACTGAGAGAACTCGATTCGTTTTATCAAAGAGTCTTGTATATATATAGTTTGGTTAAAGACCAACGAATATTTATGGTTGAGGATTTTATTTTTCTATATTTTTTTTATTTTTTTATATTTTTTCATTTTTCTATATTATTTCTATATTTCGGATCAATTTTGTGGTTTCAGGTAAATATGTAATTATTAATTACCATTATCATTAACCGTTAACAAGCACTTGTTTTTTTGCTGTTTAGTTTCCAGGTAATACATTAGTTAACATGCAATGTCTGTCTTTTTTTTTCTTTTTTTTTTTTTTCATTTATAGTTGTCGGAAAATACTAAGTATGTTTGTTTCTAAATTGGATGGCAATTTATTGATGGTGACTTGTATGTTTTTTTACGCTTAATACTTATAGTAAGTTGTAGCTAATTTTTGCAGTTTATATGATATAGCATTTTTGTATTATTGGTAAGGATTTGCCGGATTTCTTCGCTGTTTTTCCGTTGACTTGGTTGGTGATATGTGATTTAATTTAGTTATTATTATATAAATGACAGGTTAAACGGCGTGATAAAGTGTTTTTGTAAAACCGATATATGTGTTGTTTGAATTATTTTACAAAACATCTATAATATATATAATTAATTAGTGTAAACGAGACATTGCTGCCTAAATATACTACACACACACACACATCTCACACATCTCTCTCTCTCTCTCTCTCTCTATATATATATATATATATATATATATATATATATATATATATATATATATATATGTATGTATGACAATTAAAAGAGAAATTAATTCATTAAGACGGAAATTTACTGAATGTCTCTAATTTCGAAATCTTTACAGTAAATATACGTCTAAGATTATGCAATATATATATATATATATATATATATATATATATATATATATATATATAAAAAAATCCATCCCCAACATATTTATAGAAAAAGCAAGTATAATAGCCTCATCCAGGATAAAAATAAGAGAAGCACTAATAATAAAAAAGAAAACCCAACACTCAATGACATTAACTATGAACACGGCCACAATGTGCTGACCGTGTTCGGAAATAGAAAACCGAAAAACATTCCCATCACTCTAGAAACATATATAAAAATGTACACTTCAGTTAAAAATAAAAACAAATAGAATATCCGAAGGCACTTGGATATATAGAACATTCGGCAGTTTTTATACACTTTATGTTCAGGAATGAAATCACTTATATGATGTTATAATCTAGAAAATGTTACTGAATGAGGAATAACCAAAACGGAGATTTGAAATGGAAATGGTAATCTTTATAACATCAACAAAATACAATACTCGCCAGCGGCGTTATGTAGGTAAACCACTGCTGCTGGTGGACTACTTAAACAGCATATTACCCCCACTTACAATAGTGTCCAACGTATTTATGAGGATCGTGGTATACTCATTAGTGTTCATAGGAACGGAATATAACATATGAACACAAGAAAAATTGAATAAAAAGATTAGTCGTCTTTAATGAAACCTCTATAAAAGAGGGATTGCTGTTCAAATGAACAAAATAGATAGATAGATAGATAGATAGATAGATAGATAGATAGATAGATAGATAGATAGATAGATAGGAGAATTTTGAAAAAGTTACCTTGACATGCCTCACCGATGAACTAGTGTCATCAGTAAAATAATTTTATTTCACATGCTGATGTCCTCGGGACATCCGTGAAGGAGATGGAAAAAATTTCCAAGATGGAAAAAAATTCAAAATTGTTTTATATATTTTCTACTACGTTCGGTTTCTCGTTCAAGTTTATATTTTCTCTCTGTCTCTTTCTCTCTTTCAAACACGCACACACACACACACATTCACCATTAGATATCGGCTGATATCTCGATAATGATATCGTTCGGCGTCATGAGATATTTCCTCCCATTTGTCAACTATTTAGGGTTTTTTCTTCTTTATTACTGATTTTGAACATTGTCATCCACACATATAAACACATTCCTATCACACGCACAGTCGTGTACATCTATAGATAGATATGTATGTGTGTGTGTGTGTGTGTGTGAGTGTGTGTGTGTGTGTGTGTGTGTGTGTGTGTTCCATGTTAGAAGCTTGCATCGAAGCACAATTGCTATTCACAAAATATATGCAATAATTACGTATGAAGGAAAATATGAAAGAAAGAGTGAAATAAAGAAAAAAAGAAATAAAGGAAGAAGAAAGAAAAAGAAAAGAAAGCGTAAAGAAAGAAAGCACAAAAAGTGATGAACAATGATCACAAAACAAAATAAAGAAGCAAAAAGGAGGGAAAATTATGAAAGAGGACAAGAAAGAAAGAAACAAACAAACAAACAAAGAAGAAAAGAAAGAAAGGAAGAAAGAAAGGAAGAAGGAAGGAGGGAAAGAAAGAAAGAAAGAAAACATATCGATGAGAAAACTAAACAAAAGAGAAACAAAACGAATGACTTACGTAAGAGAATAAGAAAGAAAGAAAGAAGGAAAGAAAGAAAGAAAGAAAGGAAGAAAGAAAGAAAAATGAAAGTAATAAAGAAGGAAAATAGAATAAAAGAAAAGAGATAGTGGTAAGAAAACAAAAAAGAAACAAAGAAGAATAAATTAATAGAATAAGAAAGAAAGAAAAAGAAAGAAAGAAAGAAAGAATGATGGAATGGGAAAAGAAAGAAAGAAAGAAAGAAAGAAAGAAAGAAAGAAAAAGTAAGATAAAAGAAGGGAAGAGAAAAGAAAGTAGAAAAGAGGAAAAAAATAGTGATGAGAAAACCAAAAGAAAAAAAAACAAAAAGAAATAAATTACATAACAACGAACAACGAAAGAAAGAAAGAAAGAAAGAAAGAAATTTGGGATGAAGAAAGAAAGAAAGAAAGAAAGAAAGAGCACAGAAATAGGAAAAGAAGAAAGCAGGAAATGACGTAAAAGGAACGAAATAAAAAAAAAAGGACAGAACAAAGAAAGAAAATTGGAAATATATTTCGAAAAGCGATTGCGTCTGAAATGCTTACATTGAGACCATAACATTATTTCTTTTACAACTAACGTAATGACATTACTGTTTGTTGGCTAGCTGACTAGCTGCTTCGTCGGTCTTGTATAGGAATGCTATAATAGGGAAGGCTTCGAGCGAGCTACGCACGCATTTATACGCGAAAAAAAAAATGAATGAAAGAAAGAAAGCGAGTATGTATTTCTGTATAAAGCTGAGGCCAATAGAGTCCGTAGCGTCGGCCATGTTAACTGACAACCACACACCACCGGTAAGGGCGGAGAGTGTACGAAGGGCCGTAATGGAGTGTAGTCTTTCGTCGCCCTATCGATCGATCGAAGCAAGATTGAGTGAGACAAGCTGACTTCGATATCTTTAAACCAAGCCGACTAAGCCATTGAACGATCGGGCGATTGAATATGACCATATCTCTCTTTTCTCGCTTCCCGACCTTGTCTCTCTGTTTTACGAGCGATTCCTCGTTGACTTTTTCTCTTTCGCTCTCGTCTCACATATATATATATATATATATATATATGTGTGTGTGTGTGTGTGTGTGTGTGTGTGTGTATTCTTCACTAATTCAGTGTTGGATGAGCGGAGTCTAAAAGAAAGAAAGGTGAGGTGTTATTGAGCGTCATCGCTTCTTTTTTTTCTTTCCTTTTATCTGTTTTCTCTTTCTTTTTTATTTTTACTTGTCTTTCACTTTCTCGCTCTTTTCTTCTCTGTCTGTGTTTCTATTTTTTCTGTCTTCACTGATTTGAAAAGAGAGACGGGAAGACCAAGAACTGAGAAAGAGAGACGGTCCTTGTACATGAATAAATCCCGCGGTTTAAAACAGAAATCGTAAAGAAATGAAGGAAATAAAATATGCTCGTTTTCTAAATGATACGACATGGCAAATAATGAATTAATAATAATAATAATAATAGATAGATATATAGAGAGAAAGAAAGAGAGAGAATAAAGTGAATAAAAACAAGGAAAGAAACAGATCTCAAGAAGAGTTGAAGATGAAAAATGAAAAGAAAGAGATAGAATCGATCGTCCCAGAAAGTTGTCTCTGACCTCTTTATTTTTCTCATCTTCGTTTGTTTTCATTTTTTCTCGTTCGCTTTCTCCAATCTTCCTTTTTTCTCTTTCCAATCGACAGTTGAAGGAAAAGAAAAAAAGAAAGAAAGAATGAAAAGAAAAGAAAAGATATGGAAAATAAATTAAACCTAGGAGAAAACGAGGGCGTAGCAATGACGTCAAACGCAGAAGATAAGAAAAAGACGACAGAGAAAGAAACGAAATTTATGATACGTATTTCTTTCTTCTTTTTTTTTCCTTTTTTTTTTTTTGGTTGATAGAGAAAGAGGAGAAGTAGGAGGAAGATGAAATGTAGCAGTGTTAGGGGGAAACGGAGAGACGTCGTAAGAATCTGGAGAGAGAATGTGGAAGATATTGAGAAAGAGTTGTAGGAGGAGAGAAGCGACGTGACAAGCGTTCTTGGGAAAACGGAGGAAGGGGAAAAAGAATGAGAAAGAAAAGCGAAACGTTCCATCTGGATTGTATGCGCGTGTGTGTTTGCAGCGGGAAAGAAAAAGGGAGGACAGAAAGTAAAAGAAGAACGGGCAAGGAGAGAGGGGGAAGAGGGAAAGATGTAATATGCGTAGAGGAAGTATGGCATCAACCAAGAAGAAGAAGAAGAAGAAGAAGAACGTAATAATAATTCAGAAGGTGGAGGAAAAGTAAGAGTAGATAGGTGGAGCAGGTTCGCTTTGTAGAGTGGTCTCTGTCGATATTACGCTTTTACGTACATCTTTTGTCGGTTTGAGCGGGAAAAATACGCTGACGAACACACGGTCACAACGCAGTGCGTGAACAAAATCCCTCATAAATAAACCAACACGCAATATTATACATAACGTAGACACACCAACTAAAGAGTATCGAGCGGCAGTTGCCCATTAAGTAAAGACGTTGTTTTATTTATTCTATTTTATTTATTTATATATTTCCTACCCATTAAATCGGTTGTGGCTCATCAAATAAACACGTACGGGTTAAACCAATTGCGTTCACATAAAAATTTCAGGACATTATGCAGGATTCTTATAAGCTTTCCCAGAAGCAGAACGAAATGCAATCAATCATATCGTATTTTTGTAAAATTTTTGTTTGAAGTAAGCGTTAGTATTTCTGGTTTGAGATGAATACTTCGCTTATAATTTATAGGTTTTCAGATCTTTTTTATTGCTTATTTTTTTTGGTAATGACGGAAATATCTATTGTTAATATGGCTGACTCAAATCGCTGTCCTAAAAAAAAAAAAAAAAAACGAGGGCGTGCTGAAAAGTTTTCGGCTTGACCCACTTCACAAAATATGACCAAATGATTAAATATCAGATGTTCGTTTGAAGGATATTCTGATTAGTCCCAGATCTTTTCATCAACCCCTAATAATGCAATAAATATCTAAATATAGGGGTTGCTGAAAACTTCTTGGCCCTACTAAGAAGCTCTTCCTCCCAAATATTATGCCATCTTGCTAGATTTTGGTAAATGGTCGGGTCTACAATTTTTCAGCACTCCGTGTATATACCGTAAATTCTTGATTTAACGCCCAGGGCGCTTATTGAAAAAAAAAATCTCGTTTGAAGTGGGGAGGTAACTCAAGAGAGACGCTAAATCGAATGGTGTGTTTATTTAAAAAATGCAATTTTTCGCCATTTTTATTTTTTATTTATACAACTACAGAGTGCGATGGGTAAATTGCTGCCATTTTATATTTTTAATTTCGCTCATGCGCGTTGTTTGTTTTTTATTTTGTCGACTGCACAGTATAATGGGGTCAGTTGGGCACCATCTGTGAGAAAAATAGCATCTTGACGCAATTCACTCCGCCAGAAATTTAGAAACAGCATGCTATACTGCTGGGTATTCGAAAACGAATATTTAAGAGTGTTTGGATGTCAATCTCAGGACTGTGCAGAGCATTCAGCAAGAGTTGGATGAGTCTAATAGTGATTACGAAAGTACGGCAGCTTCAAAAACTCACTCTGATCGTTTTGATCAGAAAAGAACTCCCGAATTTGATGGTGAGGGCCTCAGACTCAACACAGAGGCCTATATCAAGGGCCTTGAGGTGATAGTGCTGCTCTGGGTCAAGAGGGTGGCTGCTGGAAGACACTATGTCTGGCAACAGGAATTTGCACCAGTCATGACTGCGGTTGTCAGACAATTTCTGCAACCACATCACCCCTTACAAATAGCGACTTAACTCCCCAGAGTGCAACCACCTTGATTATTATGTGTGGGGCTCAGTTGAGAGAGAGACCAACAAAACTCCTTGTAACACCAAAGATGAAATGAAGGCAAGGATTATCGTTGCATACCCCAACAGAAATAAGGAGACCGTCCAGAAAAGTTGCAGAAGATTCCGAAGTCGTCTGAGGGCCGTGGTTAAAGCCAATGGTGATTTTATTGAATAAATTTACTCTTTAGTATTTCAAGATATTTTTGTGTAATCTTGGTAAATATATCTGTTAAAATGTGATGCCAGTTTTATTTTCATTTTTGCGTCATTTAGACGACAATTTATCTATCGCACTCTGTATAAGATGTACACGAGGAAACAAAAAAATGATCTGTCACATTTAACACAAATATAGTTTCATTATATCGTTCAAAGTCTTTTTAATATCAACATCTTCATCATCCTCAGTGTCCACATTTATATCTTTCGTAACACAAATATAATAATTTAGTCGAGAGGGGTGCTTATTTTAGATTCCTTACGAAAGTGAGGCGATTATTCTCGAGGATCCGCTAAATCGAATATTTAAGGCATATATATATATATATATATATATATATATATATATATATATATATATATATATATATATTCTATTATTTATATACATATTTATATATATATATTCTATTATTTATACACACACACACACACACATATATATATAAATATAATATAAAAAGGCTAAAACGCTAATATTCCATGGTTATAATTAGAATCGTAATCACGATCCAATTCATCAAACCTACAAATTCAAAAAGCTTTTTAATTTGTAGGTCTGATGATTTGGATCGTGATTACGATTCTAATGTAATAAACTATAATCATGGAATATTAGTGTTTAAGCCTCTTATATTATATTCTGACTCTGTCCTGGACATTAAGTTCTACCTGGATTCTATCCTCTTGAAATTTATGTATATATATATATATATATATATATATATATATATATATTGACCACTTAATATTATATCTATCTATCTATCTATCTATCTATCTATCTATCTATATCTATATATATATATATATATATATATATATATATATATATATATATATATATATATATAAAGGTAAAAAACAATAGAAAACTGTATTATTAGCCGACGCGTTTCGTCCAATGTTGACTTTTTCAAGACAAAAAAGCGAAATGAATTTTTGAAAAAGCAATGTAACTATTAACAACAAAACAAAATGTCCTTAGCAAAATGTCCCAATATCACCTTTCTTGACAGAATTCCTACTCTCCCAAGCCACGTATCAAGAAATCAAAAGGAAATGGTTGAATCCGTCAACACAACAATAAAAACAATATTTCCACATGTGATAGTACTTCAGTATCTGTCTATATTTCTGAGATGAGGTATTATGTACACTATTTGCATTATTCAGACTATTGTCCTCATCTTTGTTGGCATATTTATCCCAACGTTTCGGCCGTTGTACGTTCCGGTCTTCTTCGGGTGGTTGGAATGTCGAACTGAACCCTTTATTTCACTCACTGGAGTAGACTGTTCTAGTTCCACGTTCCATGTCTAATGGATGTCAGTTACCAGTTATCTCCTGTTAATTCACCTCTCCAAGTTCTCCACTGCTTTAACCAGGTATTGAACTCACACTGTCACTGGATCTAATCAACGCCTTTATCCACTGTGACACGTGTCCTTAAGGACTAGAACAGTCTACCTCAGCGAGCGAAATAAAGGGTTCAGTTCGACAGTCCAATCACTTGAAGAAGGCCAGGGCGTACAACGGCCGAAATTTTGTGGTAAATATGGCAACAAAGATGAGGACAATAGTCCGAATAATATAAATAGTGTGATAGTACTTGACGTAATTTTCAGTTGGCAATATGAATACAATAGCGTTTTTCTAAATTCTTCTCGTTACTAAGGACATTTTATTTTGTTGTTTGCTTTTTTATAAATTCATTTCGTTTTTGCCTTGAAAATGTCCACACTGGAAGAAACGCTAATAATAGTTTTCCTATTGTCTTTTACCTTTATACATTATTGTCTTAATTATTTATTTAAAAATCATAACATAAATATGTAATAAAATCACTACAAAAATAGCCATTTTGTTTCAACACCTCTGGTGTCTTATCAAGTGATGATGTTGAATGTAGATTGTAGAATAAAGGTTTTAAAAGGTTCAAATTAATTAACCATCCCTCGAAAGGGTAACCACTGTCACATGAGCTGAAATGACCAATCAAAATACAAGTATATATATATATATATATATATATATATATATATATATATATATATATATATATATATAATAATTATACCCGGTTGATAAAAATCCCGGATGGCACGATTTGTATCCGAGGAAAAATTGTAAAAAAAAAAAAAGAACTAGAAACACCCGAACAGGGCGAAAAAAAAATCGTACAGTTCCTTAAATTTCCAGCCCCCCCCCAAAGTAAGCTAGTAACTACGATAAAACGTTGAGTGCTCAATATACGAGCTTACACTGAAGATCCATTTAAATGAAAGCTTGGTAGGTAGCTCCTGGCTCTTTAGAATTTATATATATATATATATATATATATATATATATATATATATATATATAGAACTCGTTTGGAAAACCACGGATAGCTCAACTTGTAGATATGTCAGGACAAATCGGTACCCGAGGAAAAAATTGGAAATAAAAAAAGAAAGAACTAAAAACATCAGAACAAGACGAAACAAATCGCCAAGTGATTTGAGTCCTTCGTCTAAAGAAAATCAAAACCCAAACGAGTAAAAAGACTAAAACGTAGAGTGCTCAATACGTTAAGTAGAGAAATAAACTAACATATATATATATATATATATATATAGAGAGAGAGAGAGAGAGAGAGAGTAGGGTGCTAAATACGTTAAGTAGAGAAATAAACTAGAATAAATCCTAAAGATACAGGCAACAATTATTTCAAGACATTTTTATGTTTATACATTCTTTTTATAGATACAAATATTTAATTAAATGCTCTGTTTATAATAAACAGTATTAAACAACATTTACCGGCCTGAATGTCCGAGAAATTTTCACAGAAAATAATCAGGCCGGTAAATGTTGTTTAATACTGTTTATTATAAACAGAGCATTTAATTAAATATTTGTATCTATAAAAAGAATGTATAAATATAAAAATATCTTGAAATAATTGTCGGACTTTGTCCATTTTATAATGTGTGACGTCATTTGTTTACATTTGATACGCCATGAGCAGATATGAATGTACGTGAGAGATTCATGGAAAATTGAAGTTTAAATACAGTAAACGTTGCTAACCGAACGCTACTTCGTGGCCAATGTTTTCTTTCCGAGCACGGTTAGCATATTGTGGCCGTGTTCATAGTTGATATTACTGAGTCTTGGCTTTTTATTCTTATTTTTATTATCTATCTTATGTATTTATAAATCTACTATTCGTCCATGCTTCCAATATTGCTTCCACATACGGACTGGTGTTGCTGCTCTATTTTTTTTAGCGATCTCCCTGATAAAATCCAAAAAAGAATCTGAAATTTTATTCGCTCTGGCCTGTCATTTCAGCTTCAGTCACTTTCTCACCGC